GGATTGGATGTCTGGAAAAGATTTCAATTCTCCCTCATTTATGAAGCTTAGTTTGGCTGGGTAGGTTATTCTTGGTTGAAATTGTTTCTCTTTTAGAACTTTGAAGATAGGGCTCCAGGCTCTCCTGGCCTGAAGGGTTTCTGTTGATAAATCTGCTGCTATTCTAATTGATTTTCCCTGGTAGGTAGTCTGGAGGCCATGTATTTCTTTCTGAGTCTCCGTTTCTACATCTGTAGAAACACCATGAAAACGTTTCATTAAACACCTGCAAAAATATGGAGAATTTTATGCTTCCAGACCCATTCTCAGTCAATAAGGGACTAGAGCTGTGTAGTAAATATCCCAGCTTCTTGGCCCCTCATGGGACAATTCTGAGTCATGTTCCACAGAATCCCTCAGAGAGGGCTCTCAGTGGGACAAAACCCAGTTGCCACGGTGATAACCTACTCATTTATATTTTCCTTCATTCCCTGACTTTTCTCCCAGTCCCTCACCATATTTTCTGCGACCTTCTCCCAAACAAACTATCTGTACAGTGAATCCTTGTGGCAGGGACTACTTTTGGTGGGACAAGGAAGGAAGGAATCCAGAATGAGACATGGGAATAACAATATCTACTTCACTGTGTTGTCGGGACTAGGGTATGTAAAACTGATTAGCACAGGACCTGGCAGATAGCAACTGCTCAAAAAAAAAAAAAAAAAAAGGAAGCTATTGTTATGACATGAAGGTTAATATTACTTATATTAACTCTTACAAAATGGTTGGTGTTATCAAGCTCATTTAGAGCCAGAGAAACTGGGTCATTGAGCGGTTACCTCAAGAGAGACAACAGAGGTTGGGCTCAGTGGCTCAGCCTGTAATCCCAGCACTCTGGGAGGCTGAGGCGAGTGGATTGCCTGAGCCTGCGGATTCGAGACCAGGCCGGGCAACATAAAAAACTAGCTGGACGTGGTAGTGTGTGCCTGTAGTTCTGGCTATTTGGAAGGCTAAGGCAGAACGATCACCTGAGCCCAGCAGGTCAATGCTGAGGTGGCCCTGAGTGTGCCACTGCACTCCAGTCTGCGCGATGGAGTGAGACTCTGACTCAAAAAAAAAAAAAAAAAAAAAGAGAGAGAGAGAGAGAGACAACAGAGAAAGGGGTTTCCTGGGTAAGATGGTCTTGAGCCAATTCTTTCAACCCTTGTTGGAAAGCTCTGTGATCTGAACCGGAAGGGCTGCAGCCTGGGTATGTGTTGCTTCCATGAGGCTCCCTGCAGCTGGGGGGAAGGAAGCCCCTGATGCCAGTCTGTCCTTGTAGGCTTGGATCCCGCTGGACCCGAGTACACCAGGGCCAGCCTGGAGGAGCGCTTGGATGCCGAAGATGCCCTCTTCGTGGAAGCCATCCACACAGACACCGACAGTGAGCTGGGGTGACCTTTCTGGGCTAAGGGGATGAACACAGGGCAGGGCCTGGCAGGTTGGCCCCGGCCCTCTCAGAACTTCTGTTGTCCAGTGAAGCATTTACCAGCACGATGTTGAAGGTCTTTTCCAGCTGTCATTCTGTGACCACTGAGATGAATGGTTTTAGTTTTAGTCACCAGTAGCCAGGAAGAGTTTCACTCATTGTCCAAAAGGGTTTGGTTGAGAATCTCCCTCTCTGATTCAATACCAAACCTTGTGCTGGGCAGCACTGTGGAGGCATCATGACTGGTTGACTTATGGGAAAGTCATGTAGCTTGTCCGGGCTGGGTGCACTTGGTCCCGAGGGACTGGGCCATTACACTCCACAGACACACTAACCTGTCAGGACTTTCCTCCTCCCCCGAGGACAAGCTCAGCCCATCAGTCCAGTGGAGAATGAGAATCCCTTTCAGTAGTGTCAGGCCCAGCAAAGACCCCTGACTCTCAATCCATTATGACCCAATTGAGCTCTTCTGACCAACAGGGAAGGGAGGTGGACATTCCTCTTCATTTCTGCTAGCATCCAAGACTCACAGATTCGTGATTCTGAAAGAAATCCATGCAGTAACACTGTCCAACCCTCCTTCCCACCTTCTCACAGATAGGGAACCAAAGCCCACAGGTCTCTGCTCAGCTATGTTGGGTTAATTAATTAACTTGTTCATTAATGCAGTAGATCCTTTCTGTCCTCAATTGTTAAATAGGTGACTTATTAGGCCCTTATTTACCTGAATGAGGCCTCTCAGCTCCCTTCAAAGTTGGAGCCATTTCCTGATATAATTAAAAAAAAAACTTTCTATTTATGCAATCAAAATATATTGAGTTATGTAGCAGTCACTGAGAATAGGGCAATGAACAAGACAATGGAGCATACAGGCTATGTGGGCAGACATTCAATAATTTGCTCCTTCAATAAATATTTATTAGGCACCTACTGTGTGCCAGGTACTGCATAGGTGTTGAGGATACAACAGAAGAACAGACAGGCAAACATTTGTGGAACTGACATCCAAGGAAACAGACAAGACAGTTACACACTGTGATTATTACAGTGAAGTCTGCAGGTTTGTTTTTTTTTTCTTATGTTTTGTAGAGATGAGGTCTCACTATGTTGCTCAGGCTGGGCTCGAACTCCTGGGCTCAAGTAATCCTCCCATCACAGCCTCCCAAAGTGTTGGGATTACAGACATGAGCCACCATGCTCTGGGTGACCTGGGTAGGGGGGTTTGCTTCAGATAGGATTATTGAGGAAAGTCTGTCCAAGGAGGGGGAGTCTTAGGATGAGAATGAGTTGACCCTGGGAAGAGCTGGGAGAAGAGCATCCTTGGTGGAGAGAACAGCCAGAACAAAGGCCTGTCACGTGGTGAAGACCTGGTTTGTTGTAGAGACAGGGAGGAGAACCATGCATGTGGCCAGAGTATAGAGAAGGGAGGAAGAGGTATTGAGTGAGGCTGGAGAAGAGAGGCCAGTCTAGGCTGGTCGTGGCAAGGAGGTTAAGTGAAGACAGGGCAGTAACTGGGATTTCCTTAAAAGGTGACTGTGGGTCCTATGTAGATGGACTGTAGGAGGTATGACAGGAAGCCCAGAGGCCTAATAGAGGGTGTTTGCAGTAGTGATCTGGGTGAGAGGTGATGGTGGCTTGGGCAAAGGTGGTGGCAGTAAAGCCAGAGAGGAGTAGGATTCAAAATGTGGCCTGGCATGGTGGCTCATGCCTGTAATCCCAGTGCTTTGGGAAACCGAGATGTGCTTGAGCCCAGGAGTTTGTGACCAGCCTGGGCAACATAGCAAGACCTTGTCTCTACCAAAAACAATTTTTTTTAAAAAAAGATTCAAAATGTATTTGGAGGCTGTATGCGTTGGCTCTTGCCTATAATCCCAGCATTTAGGGAGGCTGAAGTGAGAGGATAGTCTGAGCCCAGAAGTTCGAAACCAGCCTAGGCAACATGGCAAAACCTCATTTCTACAATAAATCAAGAAATTAGGCAGGTGTGATGGTGCATGCCTATAGTTCCAGCTACTTGGGAGGCTGAGGTGGAAGGATCACCGAAGTTCAGCAGGTCAAGGCTGCGGTAGCCACTGCAATCCAGCTAGGCGACAGAGTGAGACTCCGACTCCAAAAAAAGAGTATATTTTGGAGGTAGAGCTGACTGGACTCACGATGGGCTGTGTGTGGAGCGTGAGGGAAAGGCAGGGATCCAGGATAGCTTCTAGGTGATTGCTTAAGCTCTGGGTGGATGGCACCGAGCAAATAATACACAGTCAATCTCTTACAAAAGTGATAGATGGTCTGAAGGAGAAAATCGAGGTCTTCAGCAGCTGAGCCTGAGCCAGTCTGACAGGTCGGCTGCCATGACAGAAAGTCTGGGCTCTAGTCACCAGGATGGAATGAGGGCCGCAGCCTCTCTCTGTAACTCAACCGTGGAGCCACACCGTATTTCCACTCAGTCAGGGAACACAGAAACACATTCTGTGGGAGACTATGGCCATATGATCCCAGGCATTATTGGAACTATGACACGAAGGAAAATAGAAACTATTCAGTGAGGGAAAATGGCCAAGTTTATAACATGTACTGAGTTATAAAAGCCTGGGTTAAGGGATCTTTTTCTTGATTTTCTTCAGCAAACATGAATATCTTATCAATGGATTCTTCTTCAGTTCCTTTCAGCATGGAAAACCCCCTTTAGAAAACTGTTTGGGGGTTCTTTCTGCAAAGTCTCACAGCACGGCATGGAGTGGGTGGGCTCCCGAGGTGGGAGGCCTGGGGCCAGCGGACCCTGCTGTGGGACCTGGAAAATACACCCCTGAAGTAAGGAAGTTAATGGAGTCCTGCTTCCTTTCAGATTTGGGTATTCGGATTCCCGTCGGACATGTGGACTACTTTGTCAACGGAGGCCAAGACCAACCTGGCTGTCCCTCGTTCATTTATGCAGGTCAGAGAGCCAGAGAGGTGGTGTTTGGCTACCCCAGAGATTGGAATTCATCAACAGCCGTTGTGTCGAGTCAGCCAGTGTGGGCCGTAGAGTGTCCTTCTGACAATGTCCTTTGCTGTGTCTCACAACGCTTTACTCAGGGCTTACTCAATGATGTCTTCAGAGCCCAGGCACTCTGGGGGAGTACTTGAAGTTAAAAGCCTGCACCATACTATGTGATCCCCCGCAACTTGCCTTAGACCCTGCCATGATCCAGCATCAGTGAAGCCAATAACCTCTGTTCATCCCTGGACCTTGATTTGTGGCAGCGTCCACACTGGCTGCATCCTCTACCTAGTGGTGGTAGAAGCAAGCCAATGTGCTCAAAATCAGCTAGCTGAAGTATCAATTGATGCATGACCGTTTCACCAAATATACTAAGTATAACAGGTCTCTTAACTTGTTTTCAAGATAATCTTTTTATTTTTCTTTTTTATTAGAAATGGGGTCTCATTGTGTTATCCAGGCTGCAATCAGACTCCTGGACTCACATGATCCTCCCTCCTCAAGCCTCTCTAGTAGCTGGGACTACCAAGTGTGTACTACCATGCCTAGCTAAGATAATCTTTTTTAACACATTCAATGAGTGTAGATTTCTTCTCTTCTAAATGTATCCTTCTGGAATGTTGCTTTTGAATATGTTCATCGAATATGATCATCTTAGCATTATTTTAAATAATATTAACTCTGTCAATGATTGTTTAGTTTTCTTATATTCGTCTTATGAATATAGTCTATATATCAGCATATCCTATGAAAACTTAAAATGCTAAATTTTTGTTACTATATTTATAGTCTTTTCCTGTTTTACCAAGTTGTTGACATTTGAAGGATTCTTTTGACCATTTTAATTGAATAACCAGTAACCTATATTACCAAATTTACTAGTTCTCCAAAAACATACTTCTTTAAACAATTTATAAATTTTTCAGCAATTCTGATCAGATGGGATAGTTTCGCTTCAATGACTTTTGAAAATTCAGTGACATTTTAGCTGACCTTTTAAAATTTTTTTTGTTTGTTTTTTGAGATGGGGTCTTGCTCTGTCATTCAGGCTGGAGGACAGTGGTATGATCATGGCTCACTACAGCCTTGCAACAATAACCTCCCTCCTGGGCTGAGATGATCCCTCTGCCTTAGTCTTCAGAGTAATTGGGACTACAGGCATGTGCCATTATGCCCAGCTAATTTTTTTTTTTTTTTAGGCTGACTGCTGTTCATTTTTTCTTCATAATAATTTGAAAGGGTTTAGTTTGTCTCTGCCCCAGCTCCCTGTTGCAGCTGGAAGGATAGTGACCATGGGGAGTATCCCAACCATGTGGAAAATGAAAGTTAATGTAGAGCTCAGTCTTGGTTGCAGAGCCCAGAGAGGGGGTGCCAAGGTGCAGGGAGGGTCTGAAGACCCCAGGACCCTCTTGGGCTCACTGCATACTCTTAGACTCAGTCAATTCATCCAATGGGGGTTGCTAGAAACTTACATCATAAACAATAACAACAACAAAACCAAGTTTTAGGTAAACTGGGTTATTTGACAAATCCCACGTATCAGTCACTTGACTGGGTGAGCCTCGGCACACTGGGTTTAGAGATTGATCAGGAACTACTGCTGCCTCCCTTGCTTGTCTCATTGCTGGGTTGGGTATAATGAGGTTGTTTAAGAAAAATAGTTGATGGGTGATAATAAAGAAGGCAAAAATATGCATATGTGTCCACTCAGAGAAGCGGGGTCCCCATCTCCAGTTCTCTGTTCATTTCCATTTTATGAAAGAGAGTTTGCATGGCTACAGAAGAGTGGCTCTCAAATCATGCAATTTTCTTGACAGGTTAAGCTTATGGATTTCAGGAAAATAAAAGGGAAAGGGAATTTGCAGTAACCACGTTCATTAATATTTAAAAAATGTGGCTCAGGGGACATCCTGTGTGTTTATTTATAGCTTGCCAGAAGATAAAATTCAACAGAGTTCCAGTAAGTGGCATGGGTGGAGTTTCAGTTTCTCTTGACGGAAGCCTTCACTGTGGCTTTGTTCTCTGCTTAGGTTACAGCTATCTGATCTGTGACCACATGAGAGCTGTACATCTCTACATCAGTGCCCTGGAGAACTCCTGTCCGCTGATGGCCTTTCCTTGTGCCAGCTACAAGGCCTTCCTGGCTGGACACTGCCTGGACTGCTTTAACCCGTTTCTGCTTTCCTGTCCGAGGATAGGTAACATGTCACTCCTTTGGCTTCCTTTGGCAATCTGGGGGACGTTCAAGTCCACTAGCTGTCACCTCTTACTGTCCCGATCTCCTACAGTCAAGAGGCCTATCCAACCGGAGAAAAGAAAATCAGGCATTGAGGCGCTTAGCTTGTTCTCACCCAGAAGCTAGCCATTGACCCTCGTGCCCCACCCCTCACCCTCCATACTGTTCCTAGGTCTGCACACCCTTCCCACATCTAGCACCTCGCCTGGAAGTCCAGCCTCAGGACATTCTCTAGAAACACTGGCATCCAAAGAGCCTTTGCTTCTACTCTCAGACGCTTTCTGTGGGTCTTTCTCATAGGCCGGCCATTCCCCAGCCCTTCATAGACCCTCTATCCATGTGCTGTGGGAAGTCCCCAAGAGTGGCCCACAAGGCCCAAGTTAGAGGCCAGCTGGAGGGGAGCCTAGTTTCTGGGGGACTTGGGCACCTTCCTGGGTGAGCCAGAGAAGTCTAGGGAAAGAACTCCAGGAAGGCCACGAGTCTGGCCTGTAGCTCACCTGTGCATACCCTTGCTGTGAATATCATGGGGTTATCCAGGATGCAGAGCTCCAGGAAGAAATCCTGGGTGTGGAATGCCATCTCCCTCCCTACCCCCACACTCTCCCACTTCCTACCCTGGCTGCCACTCAGAACTGTAGCAGCCTCTCCTTGCTTCTGCGAAGGAAGTGGGTACCAGTCTGACAAGATGTTAAAGAAGGTCAGCTTACCATGGTAAAACAAGCCGATACAATTTCCTACTTATTGGACATGTGTCACAGATCCCCCAGACACAATAGATCAACTAATTCAACAACAGATATGGCTCACACCGCTTGCCCAGCCATGTCTCTTACTCCACCTTCCCTCTCACTGAACACCCTGCGGCGCTCACCGCCCGTGCGTCCCCGTGTATGTATATACACACGTCAGGTTCCCTCATCCTGTGTCAGAGAATGGGCCGGATGGTCTGAAAAATGTACTTCCTGTTTAGGTGTGTGTTTGTCCCCGCCTATGGATCGAGCTGTTGGTACCCTGGGACTTGCCCCAGGGATGGCATTTAATGAGCCTAGAGTATAGATGTCTCTAGAATAAATGGGTGCAGGAAATAACAAACACAAGGCTGGGTGCTCTGGGACCCAGAAGTGGTCTCCTCAGGGTTCTGCCATCTTTGTTTCTTTATTTCCAGGGCTGGTAGAACAAGACGGTGTCAAGATAGAGCCGCTTCCCAAGGAAGTCAAAGTCTACCTCATGACCTCTTCCAGGGCTCCATTCTGCGGTGAGTAGGAGAAAACACCTGAGTTCAGTTCTGGTTTGTGCTTGGTATCCTGGGGTCCTGTCTGCTTTCTTGTGTGTACCAAACATCCCAAAGTATGCAGGTTTGGAAAATAAATTATATGGCCGTTCTCAGTGTAACTGATTTTCGGATCAACTTGTGTGGGATTAGTGGAGGGATCTTTGTGGTTTTATCTTCCTGGTACTAGAAGGCCTGGTGCAGGGAGATATGGAGCCAGAGCTCAGCCTCTGTGCTCACACAGATCTGGATTGGACTCTCAGCCTCTCATTTAGCAGCTGTGTGATCAGGAGCAAGCAGCTTAACCTCTCTGGATCTCTACATCTTTATGTGAAATTGGGAACAATAACAATTCGTACTTTAAAGAATTGATTGTGAGGATATAATAAATTAGTATACAGAAGGCATATACACGGTATAATAGCATACAGCAGGTGTATATACTATAGCACAGTGTCAGGAACCCAATAAGTAATAATCCCTTTCCATCGTCAATCATAGAATTTGGAAGAATTATTGGGGTGTTTCTACCTTCGGGCCAGGGAGAATTTCATATTTGTCTCTTAGGGGTAAAATGGGCTATAGAGTCACCTGTGGGCTTTTAATAAGTGTTGCTCATTTGACAACCCAGTTCTTAGAAGTGAATGTGAGGAAAAAGAAGCTCAAGAGACCAGGGAACATGCCCAAAGAACACAGCTGGTGAAGGTCAGGGTGAAGGTCAGGACTCGACTCCATGGCTTCTTACTCCAAAATCTATAACCTTCCAAGCCACCACCCACCTCCACACTGCTTCTCTGCTCCCTCTTCTGAGAACCTGCTGTGTGCAGGCCGTATTTCTCACTCACTTTTGTCCATGCCACCTTGGAGTCAGCAGGTGGGAAGATATTGTGTCTGGTGGTGGAGGCAGTGCTGCCAGGGCCAGGCATCCCAGTTTCTAATTCCAGCTCCTGGGCAGGTTCACAGCAACCTGAACTGGCTCCTCCATGTCTGCACAGCTAAGAATACACATAGCCAGGTAGCCTGGGGAACGCTTGGAGTTTAAAAGCACCTTAAGGTGCCCGCTGAGGGAGATTTCATGGGAGACATACTTTTTCTGATTATTTCATATTTGTCATGAGACCACCTCTCCATGTCCCCAGAAGCATGCCCCTGTCTGTTTAAAAAAACCACAGATAGGGCCAGGTGCGGTGGCTCGTGCCTGTAATCCTAGCATGTTGGAAGGCCAAGGTGGGAGGATTGCCTGAGTTCAGGAGTTCAAGACCAGGCTGGGCAACATAGAAAGGCTTTGTCTCTACAAAAAAAAAAAAAAATAGCTGAACATGGTGGCACACACCTGCTTCCCAGCTACCCAGGAAGCTGAGACAGAAGAATCAGCTGAGCCCAGGAGGGAGGTCAAGACTGCGGTGAGCCATGGTTGGGCCACAGCACTCCAGTCTGGATGACAGAGTGAGACCCCCAACTCAAAAATCAAAAACAAGAACAAAAATAACACAGAGAATACAGAAAGAAACAAGTTGGCATGAAAACTTGCTCGCCTGTACATGCTGCCTGGGCCATCAGTTCTGGAATGGAAGCTGGCCACTCCTGTCCTACGCAGAAACGGGCCATCTACCTGAGTGTGCTCAGGTGGGGCCAGAAGCCCACAGCCCCCATGGCACTGGGCTCCTCTCATGCCTGGCACTCTTGGCCTGATATGACCTCAGCAATACTCACGAAGACAGGCGTTACCCTGCCTTGTCTACCAAATACTTTTTTAAACAGTATTTTTCCTTGTAGATCTTTTCACACTACACACCTTCTCTGCATTACCTTGTTTAATCCTCACCATGTCCTATGAGGCAACGTTGGGAGCTATTGCTTACAGATAAGGGAAATGAGGCACAGAGAGGTTCAGTGACTTGGGCTAGGTGGCGCAGCTCATAAGCAGTGGGTCTGGGCCTGGATCTGGCCTCCTGACCAAGCGCCCGGGGGCTCTGTTTTCCACTCACCAAGTCATGCTCCTATGCAGATCTGATTTCACTACCAATTCCCAACGTTAGGCCTGCCTCTCCCGGAGTTTCCAGAGTAATGTAGTGAAGAAAAGGGCAAAACCTTAGAAAACTTTCTTGATTAATGATACATGCTAGTAGAGGCAGAAGTAATATATCAAACTTAGCCCAGAGAATTAAGTTCCTAAAGCTTATGTCAGTTAACATTTTCACCACCTTGCAGTTTTCCGGTCAGCCTGTGCCCATTCCCATAACAATCTAAATCCCATTGTAACAACCAAGAAAGGGAGACAGAAGGGTGTGGCATCTGCCATGATCCTCTGTGAAGGGGTGACATATGAGGCTCTCTTTTCTTCTTGTGGATTCTTGGCACCTGTCAGTGAGCCCTGTTACCAATTCCAGGAGCCCTGATGGACCACAGCACTCCTCCATCTTAGTGCTGCATTCACCGACATCCATTTGATTAGTCCCCCAATATTTGCCCATGAAATTTGACAAATGAGGCCTGGCATGGTGGCTCACACCTATTATTCCAACAATCTGGGAGACTGAGGCAGGAGGTTTGCTTGAGCCCAGGAATTTGAGACCAGCCTGGGAAACATAGCAAGACTTTGTCCCTACAAAAAATTTTTAAAAATTAGCCAGGCATGGTGGCACATGCTTGTAGTCCCAGCTACTCGGGAGGCTGAGGCAGAAGGATCAGCTGAGTCCAAGAAGTCAAGGCTGGGGTAAGCCATGATCGTGCCACTGCACTCCAACCTGAGTGACAGAGTGAGATCCCCGACTCAAAAAGAAAAAAAGACAAATGAAAAGTACAAGTAGGAGAGAGGTGAAGAATTGTATCTCTAGCCATGTTCCCATCACCAAAGGAACCTGGGAAAAGTGTCTGATGATCAAAGTCACTGCAAAATGCCACCAACCATGTCTACCCCTTATTATAGAAAGAATGGCTTGCTAGGGAGGCTTTAATCCTTAACTTCATTTGTCAGAGGGACAGCAGGTCCCAGGGTATTCCCATGGCCAGGCTATGTCAATGACACCTATTAAGAGAGCTCCAGCATCTGTGCTGCCCAAGGATAGTGAAAATGCCATGTCAGCAGGCAGCTGCCTCAGGAAGGGGTACAGTCTTCTCCCACACATGCAACTTGGCTCCCAACGCTGTGCGTATGGGTAGGGCAGCAGGAGCATCACTACATTTTATGAGTTATTATTTAGTGTATGTCCTAGCCCATCTGTGCTTTTATAACACAATACCCGAGACTGGTGAATTTAAACAACAGAAGTTAATTTTCTTACACTTCTGGGGGCTGGGAAGTCCAAGATCAAGGCACTGGCATTTGTTGTCTGTGAGAGTGGCTCTTTCCGTTTTCAAGATGGCACTTGGTGGCTGGTCCAGAGGGGACAATGGCAGAAAGTGGAAGGGCAAAAAAGGGCCCAGATAGTGTTCTTGAACCCATCTAGAGGTCACTAATCCATCCATAAAAGGCCCTACCTCTTAATGCTGTTGCATCGGGCATTAAATTTAAACACGAATTTTGTAGGGGACACAAACATTCAAACAAAGCAGTAAAGGATAGATCGTTTTGATTCTTTGAAGTTCACACAACCACAATGATGTCACCACACAGAAAGGAGTGGAACATTCCAACATTACAAGTAATAATAAAAACTCACTGAATTCTTCCTAGCCACAGGCACTGTTCTGAGGACTTTATCTGTATTAACCCATTTCATCCTCATTCAGACCTATGGAGTATCTATTTTTATTATCCTTGGTTTATGCTTGAGGAAACTGAGGATTTGAGATGGGAAGTGATCTACTCCAGTACACACAGCCGTTAAGGGGTAAAGCCAAAGTTCCCAACTCAACTGCTCTCTCTGGAGCTTTTTGCTCATTGTACCTTCTGCCCTATGGTCCAATCTCTGCTGTGCTTTGATTTCCTAGTGCATCACAGCCTCGTGGAGTTTTACTTGCAGGAGCCAAGAAACAAGGACACCAGCATCGAGGTCACTTTCCTTAGCAGTAATGTCACCTCCTCGGTCAAGATCACCATGTACGTAAGTGTCCCACATGGTTGACCCCTCTCCTTAGGAGTTGGTTGCCTTTTCATTTAACATGTATACAAACACAGACATCCCTGTCAGGCAGTAAGTGATCGCTGATGGGTGGGCCCAGCTGACTGGGCTGGGGGCCGCATCTAACATAGACCCATCCTCAGACACTTGCCGGGGAGCTGTCCCAAGTTTGGGATCAGCACTGCATCCAAGCAAGGCAGATATGGGTGACAGGAGACAAGGCAGGCAGGCAGCAGTCAGTCATGGGCTAGGATGTAGGAATCAGGTCCCAGGTAGGAAATAGCGCTCAGGAATCCAGGCAGCGGGCGTCAGGATGTCATGGAGGGCATAGGAGGACCTCAGTCTCTAACCCAGGGAGGAGTGGATGGAAAGAGCCAGCAGGCCAGCCCAGGCCCCAGGTAGCAAAGTCCTTCCTGAGCTGGGCCTGCAGTGCTGCTGGGCTCCTTGCTTGCTCTCCCTCACAACACCCTCAGGTTCCTGGGTGGGCCATGCCTTGCGTCCAGCATGGGGACTCGATGATGGGCTTCTTTCTTTCACATTGAATCTCACCATTTCTTGCCTTTGTCTAGGGACCCAAGCCCTCTCTAAACTCTTTTTTTTTTTTTTTTGAGAAAGGGTCTTGCTCTGTTGCCCAGGCTGGAGTGCAGTGGTGCGATCGTAGGTCACTGTGCCTTGACCTCCAGGGCTCAAGCGATCCTTCCACTTCAGCCTCCTGAGCAGCTGCGACTACAGGAGCTCACCACCCCACCTAGCTAATTTTTTATTTTTTGTAAAGACAGGGTCTCGCTATGCTGCTCAGGCTGGTCTCAAAGTCCTGGGCTCAAGTGATCCTCTTCCTCAGGCTCCCAAAGTGCTGGTATTGCAGATGTGAGCCATGGTGCCCGACCTACAGCCCTTTTAGGAGTGCCCTTCTAGGTTGGCCACTTCATACTTCTCCCTCATCTTTTTCTCAGTCCAAAGTGGTGCCTGCATTTTTGGAGACTGATGGGGAATCTGACAGGCAAAGTCAAGAGGGTTAAGAGAGACCTGGATCCTGTTTTCATGCATAGGCCCTTGGGCTGAAGTCAGTGTGCGCCAAACCCTGTGGCTCAAGCTCATAGCAGCACGTGCAGAAGCTGGGATTTATACCTAGTGCTGTGGGTAACAAACCCTAAGCCACACAGCTGGGAAGAGACAAAACCTGAGTTCCTTTTTGGTGCCGTCTGGCTTAGAGACCTGTTTTATGGTTGCTGTTTCCACACACACATTCATACCCAACCTAAAACACAGTAGTCCTTATACAAAATGCCTTGAACTGAAAAGTCCTAAAAGAGGGCTTCTACTTCCAGGTAACTGAATCTGAAAGTGAAGCTCTCCTCTAGCTAGGCGTCCAAGGCTGAGGGGCATTTTTCCAGAAATGAAAATCCAAGGGCTGCATTTTGTGGCGGTGTCCACTTGTTCACTCTAAAAAATCAACAGCGATTTTCTAAGTCATATTCAGAGGTGTAGATGTGAGGCAGAGGGGCTGTTGAGGGTGATGCAAAAGACCTAACCCCTTTGTGCATGGCAGCCAACCAGTGCCACCAGCAATGCCAGAGTCCAATTGGAGCCAAAGGAGAAGCACAGGCAACAGGTACCCTAGTCATTTATTTTCCCTTCCCCTGCCCTTGCAGACCTAAGCGGCAACTCCAGGGGAAAGGACTCATAGCTCACTCCAACCCACCGTGCCAGATACACCAAGTCATGTTCAAGTATCAGGCTTCCAAACGGGTTTGGAAAAAAGACCGAACTACCATAGTCGGGAGGTTCTGCACTGCCCCTCTGCCCGTCAATGACAGGTGAGCCCCAATGTCCGCCCCTGCCTCAGACACGCACACACATCAAGACCAATCCTGACCTTGAGTGTGTTGTTTGTTGAGGTTGAATCTCATCGTGGTGATTACCATCTTTGAAGCAGAAATGACAAAGACCCAGGGTTTTCCGGAACTCGCTGTGGGGCCATCTTGGGTTGGGGATGTTAGGAAGGGAGCCAAAGAGGGTGCTTTAATTCCCTACTCCCACTTCAATATAAAAAAACCCTCCATTTTATCTGGCTTATTTAATTTATTTGTTTTTTGAGTTGGGGGTGTCCCACTCTGTTGCCCAGGCTGGAGCGCAGTGGCACAACCACGACTCATTGTAGCCCCGACCTCCTGGACTCAGGCGATCCTTCAGCCTCAGCCTCCCAAGTAGCTGGGACTACAGAAACGTGCCACCATGCCTGGCTAATTTTTTCTAGAGACAGGGTCTTGCTATGTTGCCCAGGCTGTTCTCAAACTCCTGGGCTCAAGCAATCCTCTCACCTTGACCCCCCGGAGTGCTGGCGCTTACAGGCGTGAGCCACCGTGCCTGTCCCATTTTGTGTGTTTTATATATTTGGTTTCTCTTTGAGATATTATTGAAACAAAGTTTTCTCATTACCTATTTCATCTCCTTAGCCTCCTTTAAATGTGCCGCTGGTCACATTCACCTGGAAACCACATCCCTTTTGCCCTGCCTCTAGCAGGCATATGCATATGATTAGTCTTACCCTCCCACACCTCTGGCACTCAAGCCACACAACCAGACTTCTCCTGTAGATGACTGTAGGCTTCTTTCACCAGACCTCATGGGAACTCTAAAGCCACACAATTCCAGCCCTCTCTCCTGACAGACCAAGAACCTGCTCTCTTGTGGCTCTTCTTTTGCAGTGAAAAGACGGTCTGCTTACCGGAGCCCGTGAACTTACAAGCAAGTGGGACTGTTGTTCATGACCTGAAAATAGCCTGCGGATAGTGTGAGCCTGGGCAGGACACATCTCCCTGGTTTTTTTTGAGAAAGGTGTGATGAGGGATATGTGTGTGTGCACAACTTATTCTAGACCATTACTACTAAGGTGAAAGGCAAACTCTTGGCTATTTCCCCCATAATTAACTACCAAGGAGAGGACAGACGACATTTCACAGAACTTGATTTCCATTGCCAATCTCACATAGCTGCCACTTGTGCTTTCCTCTGCATACTTAATTGCAATGGCCTCATCTCCATAGGCATCTGTACTTAGGATTCAGTAGAAGCATGTATAGAGAAAATAATTTAGCAAAATAAAACTTCGTGAACTATCTGAATCATTTCATTTGTTGTATTGGAATGGAATTCTGGTACATATAAAAATGTGATTTGCACTCTGCAGCATTGGAGAAAACAGTAGATATTGAATTCTCTGTATTAAAATAGCAGCTGAAATAAGTGATTGGAATGAAAGGGAATGAAGGGTGGAGAGGAGGTGGTGCCACTCACCAACCCCTCCCATCGCCTCCTCTGGATATCTGGATGGTTTGAGGGCATAGAGAGATCTTTGGGGAATATAGGTGAATTTCCTTTAGGTTCATGCTTTCCAGAGTTTGATCTTTATAAATAGCCTTGTATCAGCCACAGTCTAGCAGAAAATAGATGGGGTGCTCCAACTGGGTAATTTGAGGGGAATTTAACAAAAGGACTATTTGTAATAGTGTTTCGCGAGGGAACCACAAAAATAGTGCAGGTCCCTGAAGCTAGGGGCAATGAAGGCTGTGACTATGCTAGGCCTGAAGGGCAGGGAAGGGAAGACCCAGAACCTAGAGACAGAGGGGGCTGTGGGCTGTGTCAAGGGACCGCAACCCTACAGGGAGAGACCCAGGAGCATAGATTGTTGACTTCAACCTTCTTCCTCCCTTATTCTCCTGTTAGTGCTCCCCATGAGTGACCCCAACAGAAGCCAGAGGGCAAGAGGCACACGGACCTGGCCAAGCAGGCCCAGGGCACAAGGCAGGACAGAAAAGGGTGGAGAGTGGATGGGATGGGGGTGGGAACAGACAGATATGTCCTCCACCACTTCCCAGACCCAACTGCCCCTGGATTCTTCTATTCCTTAAATTCGTTTTTTTTTTTTTTACTTTATTTAATGTACTATTTAATTTAAGAAATCTGCTGACTTGCTGATTCAGTCTTCACAATAAAGACAGAGAGACTAATGTCAGCAACAGGCTGCAATAACTCCATCTGGGCCAAGTCACCTGGGACACCAGCAGAGCTTTGGCCTGTGTCCAGGCTGTGGAGATGCAACCAAAAGGACAGATGATGCCACGTGAATGTACACAGAGATGCTTAACTGTCTGCACTGTCACGTCTGAAGAATCCACATAGTACCCATTATGTAAGCTTACAACTTCCTATTTTTCCAAAACCAAATCCTCTCTTTCCTTCACTCTTCCTGCTTACTCCACCCAGGTTCCTGGTGAGAACACCCAAGGAGCAGTTTTACCTGGGTTATATTAAGCTGCACTTCTGTTCACCATCCTGAGAGGCATTGCTTAACATGTACCTCTCTCCCAGGTTTCCCTCCTGATTGTCGCTTTTCTCTCCAGTGTGTACAGATCATACCATGCTTCTGTGTCAAAATCATACTGTGTGACACTGATGCTAACTGGTGTTACACTGACCTGACCTGTTTCCCACAGTCCTCATATTTTCCATTTTGCTTTTGGCCACAGCCCTGTGTTTCTTTGCTAACATCTTATTTTTAAGCACCATTCAACTCTCTCATGTTATTTTTCTCCTGATCAGAAACTTTAGCTCAATACCTTAAATGGAAAATCAGTTTCCCTTTTCATAAATTAACCCTAACATAAAAACAGTGGACGATAACAATGTTTAAAATTCCAACTAGATACTGTGGCCCACTGAAGGCCCTAAGTCCTGTGGCTATTGTTTTCTTTATCAAAAAGGGAAAATTAGCAGCTAGGTGAGAGATGGTAAAATGTATCAGTGCTGAAGAGAAACTTTTTTCTATCTGTAATCAGTGGATTGAAAGAATAGAAAATATGCATAACTCGTTATGAGAGTTAATGTTATTTATACTGGGTCTAGGTAGAACTTGAAATCATCTTTCCCAGGGGCACATGACCCATTCTTTGAGAAGCCTGAGGGGTCAGGGAAAAGGGAGAGCTGACAAGGAACTCTGCTTGATGGCAGGGCAAAGGCCAGAGTCTCCTTTCCACACGACATTGCTCACAGCTCTCGGCTGCCAGTCTCTTCAATGCACAGAGACTGTTACAGAATGAATTCAACATCAGGTTCACCACCATGTGCAAGACACACACTGAGAGGGACAGAGCAATCTGACCTTGGAATAGTCACTCACAAATGCAGCTAACACTGCACAGCTTTTTCCTATGTGCCAGGCACCATTCTGAGTGTTTCACATGCACGAACGTGTTTTATCCTTTCAGCAAGCCTGTGATACACATGCTAATATTACTTCCACTTTACAGATAAATGAATTGAGAGGCCGAGGAACTTTTAAGATCACAGGGCTAGTAAGTAAAGAGCCAAGATTCTAATGCCAGCTGTCTGTCCCCAAAGTCAGGTGATTCATAACTGCTCTAACCAGGCTCAGAAGCATGACAGGAAAGTCCCTCCCAAAGGTCTTCCATGCAACCCTGCAGGACTGGCTACATAACTTGCAGGGTCCAGTGCAAAATAAAAATGCAGGCTCCTTGTTAAAGAAAACATTAATTACTGGTGATCGCAGAGCAGGAAACCAAACAGGGCCTTTCTAAGAGTGGAGCCAAACACAGGTCACATGCCAAGGAAGGATTTCAACTCCCTGTTAGGCCCCAGAGGAGATGGGCATTCCAGCCAAACTTGTGTGGTGCAGCCGACTGTGAACCCAGATGAAACTTCAGTTGGCTAAGGAAGAAGATTGTGAAGGATGAGAAAAGCGTTACAGGGCCTTTGAGAGGGGTGCAAGTGTTTCTTACAGAAAATAACTAGACCCCAGGGGGCATGTTGGTGTCAAGTGTCACTAGATTTTCAAGCAAATGATGATTACAGCTTCTTAGCCCTTTTATGCCAGAGACTGGGGTGTGCTTGGCCCCCACAGGCACAGCACAGTGACAGGTAGGAGGGAGACCATCTCCAGAAGCATTTTGGAAACACAGTCCCCAACATGTAGAGCACAAGATGCTAGGGAGAGATGAGGATGGCTTGATAAGGGAGAAAATGACTTTGTGTCCTTTTTTGATGTTTGATGATTCACACTTTGAGAATAGACCTAGGGAAATCCTTCTACTCCTGTGTCCTACAGCTGTGAGGTTGTCTAGAGACTGCAGAGAGATTAACTGCAAAGAGGATATGTGTACTGATTTCTGGATAGCAGGGGTGGCTGCTTTAAAAGGGAGAAAAAAGATGGGGAGAGGGGAGAGAAGGTGTGAGTATGATGGGGGTGACTGCAGTTGGAGAAGCAGTTGCTTGGCACACAAACCCAGCTCTCCATGAAGTCCTGTGAGGACTCTATGAGTTCACAATAGCTTCCCTTGCCAGTGGCTCACAAATTGTGCCTTGACTACAATTCCTTGCCAGTAAGGAATATGTTTTGTTTATTGTTTTAATCCTAATATCTAGCACACAGTATGTTCTCAAATATTCATTTGAAAATGAATACATGAACAAATAAATAGTCCCAGGGAGTACTCTCTCTTCTAAGATTTAATTTGTCTACAGTCATACCACCCAGAACATGCTGGATCTCGTCTAAGGCATAATTTATTGGTGAAATATACCAATGAAGCCATCTCAGTATTGGCCTTTCTTTGTAGGTAATTTTTCACTAATTTAATCTGCTCACTTGTTATAGATCCATTCTTTTTCTCTTGAGTCGATTTCAGTAGTTTTTGTCTTTCTGGGAATGTGTATAATCCTTTTTATTTCTGTAAGATCAATAGTGATGTCCCCTCTCTCATTTCTGACTTTAGTAATTTAACTCTTTTTTTTTCTTGGTAAGTCTGACTAAAGATTTGTCAATTTTGTGGATGTTTTCAAAGAGCCAGCTTTGGTTTTCTTGTCTCTATTTCGCTAATTTCTACTCTCATCTTTATCATTGTTTTTCTTGATCAGATATTTTTTCACATCATTTTTTTTAATAGCAAAGGCCGCACATCTGATTTGACTCTTTTGTTTTTGATTCTGCTTGATTCTGTGTTGTTTCTGCTTTATCCTTCATAGCCTACTGCCCAAAAGAGTAGTCATTTCAACATTCTAAAATCACTATAGGAGAAAGCTATGGCTGCATATAAGGATAGTATATTGAAATATGCATCTTCCCTAACTGCTGAATTTTCACCCAGCCCTTGACCTGCTTGCTGGGTGATACCAAATCTGACATTCTGAAAGTAACATATACTGCTCCTCCCAGCCTCAAACACATATCTATCCTCACTCTTGGGTCACTTCAGACCCTGGGATGACCATCACTGCTCCTCCCTCACATCCCAGAGGTGGTTGGCTTCTTTCCCTTAAGGAGAGCTTGGAGGTGATAAGAATGTCCCAGTACCTGAGTCCTTCCATGCCCCCATGAAGGTCCTAAAATTCCTTCACTCTATCTATGAAACATAATTGCTTGCTTGATGTGTCCATTTAGTGCCCTGTCAATAGTCCAAACTCAGTTCATCCAAAATCAAATCAATATCTTCCTCCAAAGTTGTCCTTCCTCTTTTAATGGTAATAGCTTGAAGCCTGAGTCATCATTGACTCAGACCGTCACTGCTAAAAAAAATTTTTTTAAAGTCATTTTCTTCCTTCCACCCAATACATGATTTACATGTAGACACTACCTCTCAATTTCTTCAAAATGTCCTGAGATCTGTTCCTTCCAGCCTAGTCCCTTTATAAGGCTCTGAACTGGCCTCTTTCCCTCCTGGATTGAAAACAGGCAAAAGAATGTAGAACTAGAAGTCTCTAAAATCACAAGTGTTAACCTTGCCCATGTTGAAAGGGGGTGCCTGAATCATTCTACTAACAGCAGATGAGTTTAACAAACATTTAAGAATTACCAGCTACATGCCGCACTGTGTCACTGTGTGACATGCTGGGGCCACAGCAGTAACTAAGTATCCCCCAGCCCTCAAGTGCTTAGAGAGAGAGGAGAACTGAGGCAGATGGTCCCAGAGGACTCTAAGTCCTGAATGGGATTGGCCCATGCTCACAGGGATGGAGTAGATGGTGGGCAGAAAGTGGGAAGGGAGTGGACATGTGTCCACTAGCCTTGAGGGATGAACAGGATTCCAGGGCTGAGTGCCAAGGGGT